CAATCCCTTCTCCATTCTCTTCTCGGGATCTTGGACACACACACAAACAGACCCGGCATGAGTTTAAGCCACTGAGTCTGGGACTCAAACTGCGGTCGACTACGTGGGAGTCCAGCGACATAGCCATTACACTAACTGCTGGTCCCAAAAATTTATATTAGCATTAAATATAAATGTCTTAGGTTGAATCAAAAGTGTCCCTAATGCTTTTAATTTTTTGTTGTTGAAATTTTGCTTCTTAAAGTTGTGATGTTGGGCCATCCAGTGGTGTGGTGGTTAGGGTGGCTGGATCTTACATGGCCAACTATGTAGTTTGAGTCCTGAACCTGGCAGCTTGAAAAACATGCTGAGTGAATGTGCATGCATACCCAAGAGGAAAATGCAGAAGAAGGGACTGCAGCATGGCACTCTTTGGTAGTGCTTTCTTTTTCTATCTCCAGCAAGTACATGTGCCCTATAGAAATTTCAAAAATACTTTTGATGGCATATTCTACTTTTATCAAGAATTGCTATTACAAAAAAGCAAAAATCAAAAACATCTGTAAGTATTAATACTTTTTCCCCAAAGAAATGTGTTTGAAAAATGATTTGAAATCTCATGATCCAGAGATGTTCTGCAAGATAATGGAATAGTATAGTACAGCATGAGCACGGCCTGTCTTCTAACCTCGTGCTGATACTGGACCTCTTCAAGCTGAACTTTTCATAAATAGTAAAAGCTGGCCTAATGAAGTTTCTCTTCCCCTTCCCACATACTAATCTTATATTATTATGTGGTCATTCTGATAGCATCCCAAGGTAGGCCTTCACTCCTTCTGATAGAAGAATGAGATTAATGCTGAAGTAGGTCATTCTTGTCAGTCATCTGGGAAAGGAGAAAACTAGGGATTGCTTTTAGTCCCTCCCTCTTTAATTTCTTTATTCTGGACCTTGTTTCAAATGAGTGATGTGGACTGATGTGGAATGTATTTTAGAAACTTGCAATGTTTTGTTCTCATGTGGAAACTATATTCCAGTTCAGTGCAAAAATGTGTCATGACTTTTCTAACGACCCAGTAGTTTATGACCTTTTGCACTATAACCTATTAATTCTTTGGGGACTTGTCTTTCCAGTCTGATAATCCAATTAAGAATACAAGAAAACCTTAATTCTCAGAGGATAGAGTCAAGGCAGTATGCGTAATGCCAAGTCATAACAATGGCCAAAGATGATACATCTTCCTAGAATTTGTCTTACTAATAAGGAACTGGAAGGAAACTGGCAAATATCCTTTGGCCATGTCAGTGCTGAAAAATCACAGCAACCTTGCTCTGGT